TTTTATGTATGCCAATTTTGGAAAGTTTGGAAAGTTTGCAAAAACATCAAGTGACTTCTGACACAGTATTCAGCAGAAACATCAAGTGACTTTTGTAAATTAGAAGCAGATTCAGACATTAAGGCACATTCAAATTTCAAAATAATAGCCGTAAAATCGGCGTTTTAAAGCAGTTTTTAACTTTATAGGTATATGTGTTCCTGCGCATGTGCCAAAGACGGTGGCCTGTGTGCCAAAAAATTGTATGTAGCGTACCATGACATTGTGCTCTACAAAATAACATGTGATAGGCTTTGTGATTTCAAACTTAAATTTTGTCTAAAATTAAAGGCAGATATTGATGGTTCGTGGCTTTACCTCTTTTAAGTGTACTTTTTCTATTATGTCTAAATTTCCATATCCCCAAACTTCACAAGAATAAAGCAAAATTTTGCTGATGACTTTATCAAACAAGTCTAACTAACAATTAATTGAAATATCGACTTTTACACACGACTCCATACATTGCTTTTGAAGCTTGTTCAGTTTAAAAATGTTTTTTGCTTTTTTATATTTTCCAATTCTTGACAGGAATAAACCCGAGTAACAAAATTCTTTCACAAAGGAGGTTAAGAATAGCATGGTCAGAGCTTCTCGGGTGAGCGATGTGGTCCATGAGCCTCTTGTTCAAAACACAGGTTGACCTTTGAATATTAGGTTTTTTACTGTCAAACGTTTTTTTCTAAAACAAAAAGTATTAACTAGTCCCGAAATTATGTCTTCCAAATTGGCTATGTGTTTTAAAGTCAATCATACATCATCAGTGATTATTTGTTGAAATTTGGCAAACGGTACGTTATTTGTTATTATTTTTTGTTATCAAGAATGTTACCAACTTTTGATGCCCATTATATTTTTTTTTTCTCATGGAAATCCACCTGCTCATTTGTCTATAAAACAGACATTGGTTGACGTAAATTTTACTTATACCATCGTTCTTGTTTTTCTGACTGTAAACCAAAATTTCAATACATGAGTCTACTCTGCTCTGTTTTTTGCCAAATATAACATGAACCTTTCAGTTGTTGTAAAAGAGCATTTATTTGTATGCCAAACAAAAATTACCAAATAAGGACAAAAATTAGAAATGACCATATTTAAACATATTCTTAATTAAGATTAAACAAATATAACAACAACCTAAAAATAGGACTAGAAAAAATTTTGGCAAAAAAGATGGGACAATCCTTTAAAAAACGCCACAAACTTGTCAATAACTAATAAGTTATAGACAAGTGCCCCATCCAGAGGAGACGAATGTAAAGCAGATACACAGCGGAAATGTCAACAACGTAATACTTATCAGGTTGACATAAGAAAATTGTCATACATAATCTATAGTAAAGGGGGGGGGGAAACTACTGCACAATTTGTTCTACTGTACAAAGTATCCTATAAAAACATTTTCTACATTTCCAACAAACTTGAAACTGTTCACAATTAAACCTAGCTACCACAGGAGTCATATGAATTGTAAAGAATTACCTGTATAACACAAAGTCCTGAGTTGAAACATAAGTAGCAAACTATATGTACAGGCAAATCGTTTCAATAATACAATTTTTAAAACAAACCTGTGTAAAATTTTTATATACTATACAATATTGAGAAACTTTGCATAATGAACAAGCAACATGTCCCCAAATATTAATTACTAACAAAAATACATGCACCATCAAATTCAATGTCTACAACAATGCTGCCTCAGACAGTCATTGTATTGATAAGAAAAAGTTTTATATGTACATGTACCCAAATGCTGCCTCAGACAGTCATTTCAACTACCAGTCACTAATTGCCAGCAATGCCGCCTCAGACAGTCATCGCAGTTATTCAGAAATTCACAAAAGTAATGCTGCCTCAGACAGTCATTTAAGTTACAGATAAAATTCAATGTCCACAACAACGCTGCCTCAGACAGTCATTGTATTAATAAGAAAAAGTTTTACATGTACATGTACCCAAATGCTGCCTCAGACAGTCATTTCAACTACCAGTCACTAATTCCCAGCAATGCCGCCTCAGACAGTCATTGCAGTTATTCAGAACTTCAGAAGAGTTACATATTTTTATAAATGTCACATTATGCCTTCTACTTCACTCACAGGTTCAACAATCCTTAACAATTCTACCGTTTGTGAACATTATAATAAAGCAATGTTAAAAATGCAACAACACTATGGGTACTGAGCTTGAACCCCCCTAAAATACAGCTGCCTCAGACAGTCTGACCTGATTGGGAAACATCAATACAATCAAATACTGGGATTCGAAAGTAACGTTTTACTGCATTTGAATTCCAACGCCCCATTAGACAGATTTTATCCTCAGGTATTTTACACTGAAAAGCATGTGATGCTGCACCTATCCAAAAGCTATGCGATTTATAGTGCTTTGAGCTAAGCCCGATAAAAGCCAAACTGTTTTTCAATGCTGATGTATAAAATGACTGTGTTACTGGAGCAGATCCATCAAAAGAGAATAAAGGCCCTTGTTTTGTCCCTCTTACTTTCAGATATTTTGCCATTGATTGTACTGGACAAATAGACTTGGATTTTTGAGCTGCTATTTGCAGACATACTGGTCTGCCTGTGTGATTGTGCTTGAAATGTTGAAGTGTCAAAGTCATAAATTCCTTTTGTTTTTTATCTTTAGACAAATTGCTTAATTGAATTAAATTCTTGTGCCCAGACCTTGTTGACTTTGCTGTTATTTCTCCCACTCGCAAAAAAGCAAAAAAGCTAAGTGTAAACATTGCAGCCAGAAGACGCTTGTTATACTTTCCACAAACCGTAAACTTTCATGCTCGAATTAACTGAAATAAGATTTTTGGTGTTATCGGTAATCGAATATCAGGTGTACTCGACAAGTGTTGAGCACCCTTAACGAGTTTTTTTTACAACAAAAAATTGTGTTGGATCTGCTAGCCCTTGAATTCTATGATAGTAAGAGATCCCAGCTAAATATGTATTGATTGTGTTATAAGATCTGCCCTTGCGGTGTAACCATGCTATAAAATATACTACATCTGTAACTTGGGATGGGAATTTAGCGCTTGTTGAGAACGTTTGCCTATGGTATTTGTCATATACAGCAAGTGCGGTCTTGTAAGATGAATGAGTATTTTGAGAAACTGCTGCTTGCAATAATTCAGATGCAGTTTCTTCTAAACTTGAAGGTACTTGACTGGTATGCTTTCTGGGTATTGATCCATATGTGGTGCCAAAGCCCTGAATTTTTCGACCTGTAAACGCGAAAGTAAATCTGGTAAGATATTCAGTTTCCCAGGTATATGTTCTGCTTTGAAAAGAATGTTAAAGCGTAAGCAAGCTAAAACCAAACGTCTTACTAAATGCATAACTGGAATATCTTTTGATGATATTTTGTTAATAATATTAACAACTGCCATGTTATCTGAATAAAAAAGGATAGAGCTGTTGGCTAAACTCTCCCCCCAGGTTTCAACCGCTACGACAATAGGAAATAATTCCTTAAATGTAATATTATAATCCTGCAAATGTATCTCTTCCCAGCCCCCATAAAACCATTTCTTGCCTAAAACTGCCCATATCCTAAACTTCCAGCTGCATCAGTGTACATGTTAAGTTTATCTGAGTTTTGCCATACCTCATCTATGAATATAGATTTTCCATTAAAATTGTTTATGAATTCACTCCATGCTTCTAAATCTAGCCTAGTCTGCTTATTGAGACGAATTCTGAAATGGGGTTTACTTACTCCTTTTGTTAGATTTATAAGACGTCGCAGGAAAGCTCTTCCAACTACGCAACATGCAAAATTTAATAAACCAATTAAAGATTGAAGATTCCGCAGTGTGATCTTTTTGCATTTTTTGGCTGAATCAAGTGCAAGTTTAATTTTTTGTATTTTTTCTTGTGGAAGCCTAGCCTCCATTTTTATAGTATCTAATTCTATCCCTAGGAATACCATAGTTGTTGAAGGTCCCTCTGTTTTATCGGACTTGATTGGGATTCCAAGAACATCACACATAGATAAGAATTGTTTTAATGATGAATGACAAATGGCAGAATTAGGAGGACCTATAAAAAGAAAATCATCCAATATGTGCAACATATTGGGAACCCCAAATTTGCTGCAAGCAATCCATTGTAATGCTGTGCTAAATGTCTCAAAAATAGAGCACGATATAGAACATCCCATGGGAAGGCACTTGTCATAATAAAAAGAACCCTTAAACTGAATTCCTAATAGCTCATGATCGTTTGGATGAACCGGTAAAATTCGAAATGCTGATGCGATGTCTGTTTTCGCTAGCAAACAATTTTTTCCAATTTTTTTTATAAGTTTAATTGCATCATCAATTGTTGTATAAGATACTGAGCATAAATCATCCGGGATAAAATCATTCACAGAACCCCCTTCAGGATAAGATAAGTGGTGAATAAGGCGAAATTCATTTATTTCTTTCTTTGGGACAAGACCAATAGGGGAACATTGAAGATTTTCAAATGGGGGTACCTCGAATGGACCTTCAATCCTACCAAGAGAAATTTCTTTCTGCAGTTTTAGTGCTACAATATCTTCATGTTCTTTTACCGAAAGTAAATTAGATGAACGCCTTGACTGTCTCGGCCCATTATATTGAAGATGAAAACCTTCCCCAAACCCTTACATAAAAATGTTTTTAAATCTTCATCATACCCATTAAGAAAGTGTTCTAGGGTTAATACTCTTACAGGAGTGACAATTAATCTATTTGCTTGTACTAGTGGGTTTTTTTTGTCTGGTTTGGGACCCTGGGACAGTGGTTTTTGATTGATCTCCCCATGTGCAGAAAAGCACTGAGTGTGGCTTCCTGCACTGGGGGCAAAGGTGTCTGTATTGACAGTTCTGGGATGCGCAATGTCCTGTTTTGTGGAAAGCATAACAATATCCCTGGGGTATTCTCTTACCTCTATAGGCCCCCCTTTGTTTTGGTATCAGCCACGAAAATTATGTGTCTGATTGCCATAATTAGATTGTCGCGATGTGGTGGCCATAACCCAGTACTCATAGTGCAGTTGCCCCCATGGAATTGACATTGATTCTATGTCCTTGCGGACTTGCCTATCATATGATAACCATGCCAAACCTGTGCGTCTGCTAGCTAGCTCGCGCACTATTTCACCATGTTTGATGACCGCTGGTACCAAGTTGGGGAATTTCTCAGAGGAAATGGCCAAAAATTTTAAAAATGCTGTGGTCCACTGATCAATAGATTTAATGGCTGTTTTTGATTTTGAGGTCACAAACTTAAATTCTGATTTACCCATGCTTTGCAAGTGTACTGACTTATCCCTACTAAAATCATCTTTTGGTATTAATTTTGCAAAGTCAATGTACTTGTTTTGCCATATTTTGTTTTTGAGTTTACTATCGACTTGAGAAGAAATTGGAGTTGATAAGAGCTGTTGCTCATCATCTGAATCACTCTCCTCACTGGATGAGCTGTCCTCTGAGTCATTATCTGACTTATCTTGATCCGAACTAGAGTCTAACATGCTACCTGAAGAGGACCGTCTTCTACGTTTCCTTCCTCTCGAGCTTCTTTGGCGTTCACGTCCTCTTTCCTCCCCAGATTGACCACCAGCCGACTGTTCGCGGATTGCCTTTAGGACTTGCTCCGTTACGGCAGCTACTAGCTGCGGCTGTAAGGTATCAGAAGCGTCCTGCTGAACCGCCTGTTCAGCTTCTAAAGCGTCCTGCTGAGCTGCCTGATCGGCTGAACCTGCCGCGGCTGGTACTTGTCGTCTTAGCCTTCTGGCCCTGGCTGGTCGCCTCGCTCCAGATGGTTCATTCACCTACAATATATCTTAAGAAGATATGAACCTAATCAATAAAAATATTTCAGAGCTCATAACCTGACCATTAAAGCAACAATTTAAACTTTGATTCTTCAGTTAAAAATACAATCTTAAAATTTTAAATAATTGGATAAACTTAATAAGGAATCTTTAGAAACCTCAACAATATAAGAATGTATGTATCTTATTCATTTTGTGCAATACATTCAGAAAGTAGACCTCAACCATATTTGGTGAAAATTCTAACAAAACAAATAACCCCAACCATATAGGGGTGCAGCAACTTACCAACCATAAACCCCCATCATAGGGGTGTAAAATATGTAAATTCAACCCCGACCATATAGGGGTGCAAAACCCTGATTAAATAATACCCCGAGCATATAGGGGTACAGGATATTGCTTAAGTAACTTCAATCATATCAATCATATATAGATGCAAAATCCTGCTAAGATCAAACCCCGACCATACAGGGGAGCAGGATATTGCTTAATAAACCCCGACCATATAGGGGTACAGGATCCTGCTTGAATACAACCCCGACCATATAGGGGTGCAGGATATTGCATGAATTAACCCCAACCATATAGGGGTGCAAAAAACCTGCTGTATTCCAAGTAACCCCGACCATATAGGGGTGCAAGATCCTGCTAAAAGTCAACCCCGACCATATAGGGGTGTAAAATCCTGGAAATTAAATCATGTTTAGTTTATGTAAGTTGCTTATCAATAATACACCATATTGGCAAATTCAAATAAAACAACCCCAATCCACAGGGTTGCCATATATTTAGATTGAAGTGAGTTTATTTTTATATAGCATAATAATATACTAAAGACTGCATCAATCGCCAATGAGCAATTAAATCAAATGAACATAGTAGAATGTATTATAATTAGACTAAATATGTTGTACAGATAAATACCCACCATTATTGATAGACTTTATCATTGAAACAATTACAGCCCTCACATTATTATAATATTTCTTATTTCCTTGATAATTCAAATGGACCCCATCAGCCAAAAACACTGCCCGTTGATTATTAGGACACCAGAAACCAGACAGGCGAAAGAATGTTGCTGAGTCTACATTCTTCAAGTAATTGGACACTCGTCTATTTAGTTCATCCACCCTCGTGTTAAACCATGCTGTGTCCACGTGAAACCGGATACGCCTTGTCGGGGGAATTCTATGCAATGTCTGTAGCACCACCACTTTCTTCACATTTTCCTCATAACGGAGATAAATTACAAAGTCTACCAGCTCACGGTAAATATCATTCACTGATGTATTTCTCCTACACAGGTCGTTTGATACGGCTTGTAACAAAACCACATCTGGACGCAAGTCTCTAACGTAATATGTACCTTGCGCGCGAATCTGAGCCAGTGACGCTCCTCCGTATCCTGAATAAAAAATCTGTACCTCCTCCGAATTAAGATTTAAATTCGGTGTCACCCGATGGTCAAAATTATCTGTTACAAAGTTCTCAAGTCTGCGAATAAAGGAATGCCCCAAAATAAGGACTTTTATTGTCATTTTATCCACACCATGTCCATCCCAGCGTGGGATAGACACCGATTCCAGGACCACGTGCAACGATCAGCCTAAATTAAGGCCTTTATAAACAGTAGCGTAAAGTAATTCTTCACATCAAATACTTACAATGTAGTATAAACGGTAGATCCTTATATAATATAGCCAATAATGCAATCAAGTTGGATATTAAACTTCAATGAATGAAAACATCTTCATGACAGTGCACATGCAGACTTGAGACAATGACTACGTGACAAGATCAATTTATAATTACTGGTACAGGTTGCGTGTGGCACTACAATATCCGGAAAAATCTTAACAATATGTAATTTATTGATAGATGGTATAAATTACTTTATGTTGCACATAAATACAAATATTTCAATGAATATTTCTACGGGATTCTTAACGAGTTTTACGGCAGCTTTGATGAAGCATTTAATTTTACTCTAGTTTACTGATTCTTAACCATTCATTTTTCATGCAGTAACAAATTATAGCCTTTGTTTTCAAGCTTCTCACAATGAAACTATGTGATGAAAAGTGATCAGATAAATTGTAATAAATTCATTTAAGATTCAAAAATACAAAAAAGTCAAGCTTAATGGCATATGATTCCTGTATTGAATGTCATACATTTCAGAACATTATTTAAATTAATTAATTTGTTTGTATCGTCAATTTCAAAAATAAAAGAAAATAAATAGAGTTATTTCTACTTCCCATCCCTCCCGAAACCCACATACACTCAATAAAAATCAAAAACAGAATAAACCCTGACCTATAAAACATCGGAGGTGCAATCAGGTGCAAAAGAGGAGTGAGAATACTCTAGTGACCATTAAATCACGCTGTGTCATGATCAGGCAATACAATGTAACTTGAAAAATCTGTCATCAATTCAGTGTGTAAACAATGATCTAACAATTCGTCTGAATAAAAATGAAACTTCAGTTGACATTACTTATAAATCATAAAATTTAATAATATATTGTATTTGCCAACTAAATCATTGTATCGACCATTGAACTTACGAAATAATGACTCTAAACAAGACTGTTGGTATTTTTTATTATCCTTGTTTTCAACAACAAAGTTATAGACTAAAATTAAATTGTAATTAGAATGAAAAAGCAAAACTATTTTAAATTAAAGTTGTTATTAACAAAGTACAAAAGTCCGTACATTAATCCATAACTATAATCTGTTTTTTTTTTCAATTTCATCCACAGATGAGAGACAGGGATGTAGAAATGTCGATTGCGGATGGAACTGACAAACAAACGCTGGAAGGAACAGACTTGGAAAAAATAAAAATTATTGAAGAGCAAAAAAAAATTGTTAAATGCCAGCATCAAAATATTCAAGATCAAGAAAAAAACATATCTGCTCAAGTAAAAAACATTAAGGAGCTAAAAAATTATATTAAAAATCATGAAACTGCTTTTGAAGCTTATAAAAACAACATCCACAATCTAGACAAAACTATTGAGGGGCTATCCAAAGAAAGTAAAAAAAGCACAGACAATAGAGAAGAAGTCTATGATAAAATTTACTTCTATATTGTTGATGAAGATGATAAAAAAATAGTCCTAGATTCAATTGATAATAAAAACATAGAGAAAAAAATAAAACAACTGAAGGAATTAAAAAAGGATCTTTTGCCAACCATCAATAAGGAAAAAGAAAATATTGACTATCTCAAACAGCAAGTTCAGCAACAGGAGGAGAACATTAGACAGCAGGTCAAAAACGCTGAAAACCAGAAAGGGGAAATAGATTGCCAAATAAAAAGCATTGAAAAACAGAAGGACGTCCTTCTGCAAAGCTCTTTTTACAAAAAGGTAATAAACTGGCCAATTAGGAGACTTTTTTGTGCAATATCGTTTCTCTTTGGATATCACATGATGTATTTTTTCTTTTTGAAGAAGATTGAGGACAAAGAAAATCACGCTTTGATAACTGTTGGAGTAGCAATGGGGGTATGTATACTAAACACTATCCTCACAGAAAAAAAGAAATGTTTTTGTAAATTTACACCATTACAAATGTTACATGCATAATTATTTTTCTGAACTACGTCGGTAGTTTTTGTTTGAAACAAGCGCCATGGAAGACTTGCCATCCCCTGCCGACTTCATGTGCTTCTTGTCATGATCGAAAAAAATAATCGATAATTCAGTGCTTATAAGCTCACCTGAGCCGAAGGCTCAAGTGAGCTTTTCTGATCAAAATTTGTCCGTCGTCTGTCGTCGTCGTCGTCGTCGTTGTCGTCGGCGTCGGAGTAAACTTTTCACATTTTCATCTTCTTCTCAAGAACAACTGGGCCAATTTCAACCAAACTTGCCACAAAGTATCCTTAGCTAAAGGGAATTCAAGTTTGTTCAAATGAAGGGCCACGCCTTTTTCCAAGGGGAGATAATTATGAATTAGTGAAAAATTAATGTCATTTTTCAAAAATCTTCTTCTCAGGAACCAATGGGTCAGGAAAGATGAAACTCATGTGGAATCTTTCTAAGGTAGTGTAGATTCAAGTTTGTTCAAATCATGACCCCAGGAGCTAGGGTGGGGCTAAAATGGCCGACCAGGAATATATAGGAAAACTCTTTAAAAATCTTCTTCTCAAGAACCACTGTGCCTGGAAAGAAGAAACTCATGTGGAGTCATCCTCAGGTAGTGTAGATTTAAGTTTGTTCAAATCATGACCCCTGGGGTAAGGGTGGGGCCAAAATGGCCGATCAAATTTTACATAGGAATATATAGGAAAAATCTTTATAAATCTTCTTCTCAAGAACCACGCGGGTTTGTTAAGGCAGCACATGGATCAGAATTCGGCGAATTAACATTTTTTTATAATTATGTAACACTAATAAATCGGAAAAGTCAAAGATAAAACTTTTACTATAATTATGCATTCTATAGACTTCAAAGGGACTTATATTACAGGAGGCACCTCACCACGACGTCACCACGTGACGTCTATAATTAGAAAATATGCCTTAATGAAAAAGTGAAAAGTTTAATACTACCCCGAGGATAATTAGTTCCAATTTATATTCATAGTTATGTAAAAACATCTCTGTACCATGAAAAGTGCTGCTAGAATCCTACTGTCCTCTTATAGAAATAATTATTCAACAATTTCGGACGAAACCTTCGCAAAATTTTACATTTTGTTTATAACATCGAAAAAAAATGCATCAATTCCCGTAAATTATACGATTCTAGCAGCACTTTCCAAAAACAAAAGAATAAGAACTTTAGATAGAAACAAAAACTAAGTTTCAAGGTACATGTATGTGGCGTAGTGTTGAACTTTTGCATCTTTTTTGTTACAACGACAGAGGAAAGGCTGATCGGCTAGTAAACACCCTCCCTGCTTTAATTTTACGAAGAAATTGCAGAATTATATTACCATACCTTATTCATACGCTTTTTTCCCACAAGAATCACACATGATATTCATTCTAATTGCTTTGTTTACATCAATTCTCGTTACTCTTCACTTTCACTCTGCTACTGCATGATCAACAGTTATGACGTCACGGGTTTGGTATGTAAACCCTGTGATAACTACAGAGGCCAAGGAACGACAAAATTCCGTTGATATTATTCCTCTGCATATTTTGTTTCATTTTACGACCTCAAATAAATCTTAGATATCGATTTTAAGAAATTGTTATCTCTAAGTCTCACGTCATATAGCTTATTATGACGTCATATCATATAGGCAAGTAGAATATTTGGTTGTAACCTTAACCTACCTTCACATTGAGACAGGAAAGATGAAACTCGTGTAAAATTATCCTCAGGTAGTGTAGATTCAAGTTTGTTCAAATCATGACCCCCAGGGCTAGGGTGGGGCAAAATGGCCGATCAAAGTTTTACATAGGAATATATAGGAAAACTCTTTAAAAATCTTCTCAAGAACCATTGAGATAGGAAAGATGAAACTCATGTAAAATTATCCTCAGGTAGTGAAGATTCAAATTTGTTCAAATTATGACCCCCGGGACCAGGGTGTGGCCAAAATGGCCGACCCAAGTTTTACATATATATAGGGAAATCTTTTTAAATCTCCTTTTCAAGTATTCAAAGCCATGATTAGTGATATTTATATGGAATCAACCTCAGGTAGTGTAGATTCTAGTTTGTTCAAATCATGAACCCCCGGGGATTAAAATTCAAGCCCCCCCCCTAAGTTAGTTCTGATCTGATATGTGCTTTTTCCTAGCCGATGTGCTCAGGTGAGCGCTGTGGCCCCTGGGCCTCTTGTATAATCTCGTATCATTAAGTATGAAAAACACAAGTCAAAATTCGACTGACATAGAGACTTTATTAGTTGACAGTCATTATATGGATCATAGAATGCTAATTTTAAACGAGACGGTTGATCATTAACTTGTCACTTTCTTCAGAAATTGTTCTAACATTGAGCAAGTTCTTTTTATCAAATCTATCGAGACAAAGAATTCATATGCAGGCAATGATAATTTTTGCTGTTAGGTTACTGATACGTTTTTTTATACTCCCCGCTTGAAAAATGAGAAGGTATTTAGTGATCAGGATGTCTGTCCGTCCGTCCAAAACAGGGACTTTATCATTTTAGCCACATGAGTGGCGGGGGTATCAATTAGTAAGCTAATTGCTCACATAACCTCTAGTTTCTACTAAAATAGCTAATTACGAATCAGATGTATTAAACGCTATGCAATCTGTTTTTTAAAGTTCACTGAGGTTTATTGAGTTGGCATACGCGGGTATGTTAAGGCAGCACATGGACCAGAATTTGGAGAATTAAGACTTTTTTACAATTATGTAACACTAATAAATCGGAAAAGTCAAGCATAAAACTTTTGTAATAATTATGCATTCTATAGACTTCAATGGGACTTATACTACATGAAGCACTTCATCTCGACGTCACCACGTGACGTCTATAATTAGAAAATATGCCTTAATGAAAAAGCGAAAAGTTCAACACTACCCCGAGGATAATT